GGGAAATGTATTTGGCAACAATGCAATTTATGAACTCTGCAATTTATTTTGTTTGTAAAGCTATGCGTTGAGTGTAAGAAAATGGTCCTTGTCAAAGTGTTGTTCCTATCATATATATAAAATGGCCATGAACTGATAAACCACATGAACTGATAATACAAACAGATGCAAATAAACCAAGTTGGAAAACAAATGCAAATAATACAAACAAATAAACATGAAAACAGTTGCCATATATATATATATATATCATAACTTCAATACAATTAAAGTGCATTCCAAATGAAATAAAGCAAACTACTTGACTGTTGTTGAACATGGGTCTATAAATGAAATAAAGCAAGCTGTCACATTACAGCCTGCACTTCCATAATTATTAGGGAAGGCAAAAGTTGAAACAACAAAAGTTATGTTAATTACAAAAGTAGCAACTTGGCTTGAACAAAAGCAGCAACTATTCAGCATGTTGTTTCTCCTATCATAGTAGTTTCTCCTTTCCCTTCGATCTAGATGAACTAGGAATACTTAAATCTGCCTTGGCAGCAGCAGCAACATGTATATGAACATCTCTAATCCTGAAAGGCATCTCTACTTGTTCTTTAGTTTGTGTTCTGGCTTGTTTGATACTATATTTGACTTGAGACCTTGACAGCCCAAACACTTCGTACATATCCTGGTCCACTTGATCTGGGCCAGAGAATGTTATGTCAATCTCAACCAGTGGCTCAGCATCCTGTTGATATTTAGTGTTTGAATCATCATTACAAACTGCAGCTGCAACTCTTCTTGTACATTGCTGTCTCTTCTGCACAAAACAGTGAAGTAGCAAAAGTCAAATTGCATAAAGACAAAAATCAAAAGATGTAGCAGGTTTTTCTACCCTTTTATTTGAAGATTCAGCAGTAGGTTTCTTGGTTTTCCTTGTTCCCTACAGTTTAAAAGGAAAACATGTCATTTTATATACCAAATAACAAAGATAGATGTAACAAGTCATCAAGACAACTTACAGTTTTTTTTCCATCTTGGCTTGCTGGATTGTTGGTAGAAGCAGCAACTTGGCTTGAACTAATATCAGTTTCTGCAACTTCTCCATCTTGAGCAGTTTTGAGAAGCTTGCAGGACCTCATATTATGTCCCCTTTGATGACAGTATCTACACTTGTTAATCTGTCCCACTCTTGTCACCTTCTTCTTAGTTTTTTCCTTGGCTTGTTGAACCTCCTCTGCACTTCTTCTTCTCAGCTTCTTAGGCCTTCCAGGTGTTTTCCCATATAAGAGTGGCAAAGGACCTTCACCAACATCAATAAGCCCCCATTCACTTTCTCCATTCATGGGACACACTGATCCTTCATAGCACTTCATATATGTCTCCACTGTATACCATTTTGAAACATATAGCAAAAGATCCTTTTTAACCATCCACAATGCAGCAATGGCATAGGGACAGGGAATACCTGTTAGTTCCTATTTTCTGTTGGAGCATGTTTGCTCCTTGATGTTCACTGTATATTGGTCACCATATGGGCAGCTGACTTCATAAAGATCATCATTTGATTTGAATGGAAAACAATCAGGTGCTCTATCTGTATTTTTCTGCATAATATGAAGAATTCTGGGGCAGAAGGATAAGTCTGCAACTTCTCTTTGGCCAGATCCCTATTTTTTTGCATTCTCTGCATCATGTACAGCCGTATTGTTCAAACATTTCAATTATTGGCTTCTCTCTAGCATCAAGATTTTGTTGTTGAAGTACTCACATATATTATTCAATAACATAGCACATTTAGGATGAGTGCTAAAGTAAGCTCTGCTCCATTGATTTAGTGGTTTGTCATGGCTGCCTCTATATCAATTTCAGCCATTTCTTCCATGCTGCTAATGAATTGAGTGGTGTTGTTGCTTTGACAATAGTCCATAATGCTCTCCTCAAACCTTCTCCTTTGAAACCAGCAGATGAAAAATTATTGTGCAAATGTTTCACACAAAATCTGTGGGCTGCATTTGGAAAAATCATATCACATGTTTCAATTAGACCTTTTTGTTTGTCACTGATTATTGTCCATTCATAATCCTTTTCAACCTTCAAATCTTCTTTCAATAGTTTGAAGAACCAGCACCATGAGTCCTTATTTTTACCCTCTGCTGCAACATATGCAATTGAAAAAATGCCATTATTGACATTAACTCCAACAGCTGCTAGCAAAACTTCTACTGATCCTTTCAAAATAGTGTCATCTACTCCAATAAATTGCCTACATCTAGCTAGGAAACCATGCTTCACTCCAGCAAAACAGATATACAGCCTCTCAAATCTACCTTTCCCATCAACAGTTTTCATTATAACAGTGCTACCAAGGTTGGATCTTAGAATTTCATGCATATAAACTCCTAATTTGCTATACTGGTCTTTTTCATTGCCCTAAACAATTTTCATTGCTTTTCTCCTTGTCCTATTTGTTTCATTTTTTGTGAAGGAGCATCTATTTTCTTTTATTACTGTCTTCCTAAAATGCTCCAAATCTAATTTAGAATTACACCTAAACTCTTCACAGTACTTCCTAGCTACCCATCTAGAATGCACAAGAGGGTTATCATATGTAAAATCACATGTGTGATTATCTTCAAATGTTCTTATTTAAATAGTTTCATCCCCACTTAACTTTCTAGCATATATAACCCAATTATATTCACTATTTCTGCATCTAACCCTCACCCTCACTGTATCTTGTTTCACAAACTTACAAAACTTGCCTTGTTTCACACTATAATTATGTACAGCAGTCTTGAAAAGTTTCAGACTTGTAAATGACATGTACAGCTCTAATTTTGGATTGTCAATATGTTTAGAATCAAAAGAACGAGACCTCAATTTAGACTCTTTATCATCAGACTCATGGATGCTTTCAAAATCAGATTCAGAATCAGGAACTTGCTCTGTTTCATCAGAATCAGGAACCTTCTCTATTTCATTCAAAGGATCAAGAACCACATGTTCTTTCCTGTGATTATCTACCCCCAACCATTCAGCATTTTTGTCAATATTATCATGAAATATACCATCATCACCTATTTCATAATCTGAATCAATAGTTGAAAATAAAGTCTCATCACTTGCATTGGAATCATTATCACAATTATTAGCAGCACACCCTCCTTGACCTTCATCCCTAATATCATTGTTACCATCACCATTTTGGGGTTCATTTTCTATCTCATCTACCTCATACAGATCATAACCAAGTTGTTGTACTAGAATTTCATGAAAGGATATTTCAAGGTATAAGTTAACTTCCTTAGTTGGTCCAACCTTCCCCTTAACATAACCATTCAACTCCCTATTGTAGTTTATCCTCCTAAAAGTGTTATTTTCCCAATCATAGTACACCTTATAACCATATACACCAGTACTCTCAGTTAATCTATCCACTTCGAAAATACTTAGACCTATACTCTCAATGTAGTCAAAAACACACAAATCTCCACCTTCATAATGGGGATCAGGAGTATATGAAATGAGGCCTCCATGGTGACATCTTAATGTGATAAATGTGCTGCCTGTTTCTGGTTAAAGAAAACAATATATATCAGACTCTTCAAGAAAAAAAAAGCTTCATCATTTCAACACAACAAACTGTTGACCTACACAAAAACTACCTAACAAGGACCACTTTAACACTTTTTCCATACACATGGCCGGCAAAATAAACCAAGCATTATTGTTTATTAGTCACTCTCACCACAAAATTATAGTCAAGCAGCAACTATCATCAGACATAAGGGACTACATTCACACTATAATAATCAAACCAAGACAAATTTTTTAATTTATTTATACCTCATGCAAATGGCCAGATCTGGAAAAAAAATAGCCATAAATTATAGTGGGAAAAAAATACAAACACAAGGGACCACATATCAGGTTTCCTTCTCCAAAAAAACACATATCTTTATGCAATGTAGTTGTTGATTTTGGGTATAAATACCGTAATTTGGGGGTGGACAAATGTGAAGCTCTTTCTTTCGCAATGCATTTTTTTCTTCACCTAAAATGCTCCACGAATGCCGTCTATGCCCTTCTTCTTGTCAGCAGATACTCGAAAAGTGGATGAAACGATTGGCCAAACAAAACTTTTAGGGCTGAAGAATGGAGAGAAAGAAGGAGAAGACTGAAGCTTTTTTCTTTTTGCTATTTTCCAAATTTTCGTCCGTTAGAAAAAGTGGCTCCAGTTGGATCTGACCCGGTTATGTTGGGTATAAAGTTGGATCTAACGTATCGTACTTCTCACGTGCAAAGTTCCGTCCCAATATTTAATTTGTCCTCCATTTCCTGTCAATTGTCATTAATTGGCCAAAATTACGGAACTTTGAGGATGAAATGTGTTTGGGGTGGAACATTGAGGATGAAATTGGTCAACCCCCCAAATTTTGAGGATGAAAAGTGCATCAGGTATAAATAAAATTTATGGCTATTTTTTTTAAGATCAAATTGACATTGTGAAACACACAGCAAACAGCATCAATGAAATAAGAAAGGAAAATATCAGTTTTTATCTCTAAATTTTGTATCATGAACACATATTTCGTGTTCAAACTCGTACATTTAGTATCTGAACTATCAATTTTTGACCAATTTCAACCGCAAATAGGACACCAATCAATTTGAACGGAAATTGAGCACTTGATAAGCCAAAATTTGTTCAGTAAAAAACCTTACACGACTTAAATTCAGCGAAATAAAACGACTATATTCACTCTTCCAACTCCAATACCTTTCTTTCCAACTCTAATATCCGTTCAATCCAATTAATTTCCTGGTTGATGATGAAATTGATAAAAAATTGATAGGTCAAATACTAAATATGTCATGCTAGAAAGTTTGAGAACAAAATGTGTCCATGACCCAAAGTTTATGGATGAAATCTAGTATTTTCCCAAACGGGAACTACATGTTCATCTTACCAACCATGATCAAAAGCACTTGCTAATCTAAAAATCAAGACTGTCACAAACCGGAAATCAAATATCTACTTGAAACATTTCAACGATCTTTTGATGTTCAAGGCAAGGGATGCTCTCATTTTACAACAACATGAACTACTACCTTAGGCCGGGTACTTTAGAAAAGGAGAGAATCCACTAACAAGCAGAGCCTAAGAAGGATTTTTAGGATGCCAAACAGAAAGACTGCCCCAGAAATATGCACTTCAAAAGGGAGCAGGCTAACATTCTACTTTTACATACTGCAATTCAAGGATGTACATTAAGCAGAGCCATACGCGCCTTTCCACAGTGAGAATCAACTTGTTGACTAAGTCTACGATCTATCCAAAACACCAGCAGCCCAAAGGATGCAGCAAAACTACTCAATAACGTGAAAATTACAGTTCTATCACAAAATTCCCTCGAGACAGTGTACAAGGGAGGTTGTCCAAACAGTCAGATTTTTACCCGCCTAGCAGCCAGATCTTCCTCATAGTTAAGAGTTCTTGCAGCATTTAAAAGCATGTCCACACCACCAGATTTTTCTAGAGCCTCCTCTTTTTCCCCCTTTTCTACATGAGGTGTTTTTCCCTCTCCAGGTCTCTTGGTTAATCTCCTTTGCAGGTTCTCATATGTCCTTTTAGCCTTGCGTATGGACCGAATTTCAGCATCACACCTTCTACAAAACCATTTGCCCCTAGGAACCGTGCTGCGTGGTGGTTGCATGCAGTAGATGTGATATGCATGATCACACCCATCACACAAGACAATCTTGTCATCATCACGATCAGCAAGGCAAACTCTACAAAGACATGAAGGACAATACCACTGGGGGCCATAAGAATCCAACTGCTTACTCGTCAAGCATCGTGTGTGGTAAAACTTGTGGGGGCAGAAAGCATGGCCACATATTTTAGGCTTTTCACCATTTTTTATGTCCATTCTACAGACATTGCAATGAGTAATAACTTTACCCCCTTTTGCAACATTAGTATCATCATCTGTTAAACCATTTGAACTCTCCTCCAACTCCAGCAGTGTTTCTGCATTACTAAGCTCATCAACTCCATCATGAACTAAAGACCTGGAGGCATTCAACCTGTCACAAACCACACAGTTGTCATGTGGTGATTCAATCCCCTTAGCAGTACAACTGGCACAGTACCAACTTCTCTGAGGACTTTCTTTGATTGGAGGCTCAATGCAGGCGACGTGATACATCTCCTCGCATGAATCACAGACGAGACAATCTCTTCCATCGGCTTTGCCTCCACATCGCTTGCAGGTGCAGACTTTGTATATGCCACAGGCATCCATTTGCTCCACTTTAGCATGCATGTCAGATTCTTGGGTCACAAACTGTTAAACAATAAATTCCATAAGTTCACTTCCAGTACCTAATCACATAATAACATGATCCTGAAACTACATTTCATTGCAGAAACAACCCTTTTTTCAACAGCTTCCATATTGGATAGCAAAGAAAATAATATGACTAGCGATATATTTTAATATTACAACTTCTCGACTAGATTAAAAATCTGAGCATATGATCCTGAAGAATCTAGGTGGCAAATCATTGAAAGTCCACAAGACTTTTTAATCAAATCTAGTGATACACAATTTATACAATTTGAAAAGAACTATAACAAGTGAATGTTCAATTTATGCAATAATTAATACTTACATGATGCTAACTAGAGATTGATCCAGTGAAAACACCAAAATATGATATCGTACAAATTCATGCAAATAAAAACCAGAGATCTATCTCCTATGATACTTAACCAAACACATTAACAACAATCAGAATCTCTAGCAGCTTGTCATGTCCTATGTTCATTCCAGACTAAACATCTCTTCAAAACAGATTCTAATGCTTCACCTTAAAACCCAGATATACGGACCCCTAAAAATATTAAAAGACTGGGGGAAAGATGGGGGAAAGAAGAGAGAGAGAGACAGAGCAGTTTAACCATGCACTCATAGCATTACTTCCCTCAAACAGCAATGCAGGAAAAGTGGTTGTGAATTTTAGTTTTTACTTTCAGTTATTTGTTCCCTTTTGTACAATCTAGAAACAAACATTCAAATATTGTCCAAGCAAAGTGGTAAAATAGGTTTTTCCAGTAATACTACTTGATCTTCAAAGCCAAACCAGCTAAGCCAACCACCCTTTTACAGAAGCAAAACCCTCACCTCAATGGCACCATCATCAGAAGCAGCACGCAGCAACCCCCCAATCTGACAAAGCAAACAACAATAATTACATCAATATATTGACCTGTATAAAACTGGAGGACAATGCGACAAACAAAAACTGTATAAACTGGAAGATAATAGGACAAACAAATAAAGTGACACTAAAGACAGCACAGGAACATCTGCAGGAAGGTACATCTACCTGTTTATGGTACATAGTCCTTGACTTTTCTGAGAGATCCTTTGCAAGGGCAACTATGTCTGTGCCAACCTTCTGAAGCTTGGTCCAGATCTACAAAAGTTGTTCAAGATCCAGATACAAATCATGAGAAGCACTACCACATCATCGTCAACTTCATTTATATATGTTGTTCCATTCAGGGAAAAAATACTATTTGCTTTTGCATAAAATCCATGTTCAATCTGATAGAGAAATGCCAAGACTTTTTGAAACCGTGACAAAAGAGTTGACTAATCAGCTTTTTACAACTATACACATCAAATTCCTAATATGCCTTGATGTGTTTCAGATGTAGATTCAATCAATTACAAGAAGAAGAAGTTTTCAGCCACCAAAAGAAGTTTTCAGCCACCAAGCCCTCATCATCGATTTCGGCAGGTATAAACATTTCAAGAAAAGAGGAATGAGAACACTACAAACTCAATGGTCCTATACTTAGATCACCAGACAAGGCTCTACAGCACCTAAATGCTGCAAAATTAGTCAATGAAGCATGGGGCATCCAATTCTGTTAATAACATATGTGAGATCAATAGCAACTGATTCTCTTCTAACCATGTTTTATTTCTCCTGTCTCTGATGAGTACAGATCTCTTAAATCAGCAAATAAGTAAAATTACTTTAGGGATTCAAGACATTAAGCATGCAATAACAGTTATACCTCGAGCATGCTTTCAAAATATACCTGTTGAATGTCTAAAAAGAAAAGCACCGGTGATTTTTCATACGCTCCTTCCTTTATCCGCGAGTTCATGAGGCTAATATCAAAAAGTTTGTCTGCCTTCATCCCTTGAAAATTTTCAAGAAGCATGTTGCACAAAAGGGCAAACTTTTCAGACATGATAACATCAGAAAAAGTTCTTTTGCATCTCTCTGTGACTATCCAATTGTTAGTTTCATTTATAGACGAATCCAATATGGCACCTTCAATGCCATTACAGGCATTTTGGATCCGGTCATGCAGACGCCCTGAAGGAGAGGAGCACTTTTTCCCATCCTCACAAGAATTAACGGACTCCTGGAGACAGAGTATTACAAACACAAATCACTTAACGCTCAAGAAATGATAGTGCTTTGTCAACCTATGTATAGTCTAGGAATGTACAAAATGGTTAGCATACCTTAACTGCAGATGTGCAGCCATTTTCTGAAGGATGCACAAGTGCGTCCCGAATACACTCCTCCAGACCACCTTCACCCTTTAAAGACTTGTATATGTGCTCCAGAACAACATTTCTTAAGTGCTTAAGTGAGGGATCATAGGAAAAAGTCATTCCCACATGCATTCCCGTCCCAGCAACACCAGCGTGTGCAGAACAACATTCATTATCCACATCCCACAGTCCTTTAGTCAACTGCAACATATCAAACAGCAATGGTATAACTACCAAAATAGCACAAGAATAAATGCACAAAGGCAGATAAATAATAAAAAGATCCCGACACACAGGTTTTAATATCTTCCATAGGGGAAAATGACATTACAAATATCCTAGTCTTTCGAATTGTGATAAAAGGGAAAATAAGTCATATATGGACATGTTGCCTTGGCAGACTAATCACTTTTCTGGTTTGATAGTTTGTCCAGGGCAAAACGTAGAAAAGTTAGAACTAAGACACAACTCTTGTCAAAAAGCATGAAGAATGGTGCTAAAGGAGTGTTTGACTGGATTCTAACTCACCAGTTGAGGCCATGACACTACATTTAAAAAAGCTAATTTCTTGTGATGTGAAATTTTGATATTTCAAAAGTGCCCTTCACTGCAACATCTTACATCAAGAAACAAAAGGGCATTTTTAAAGTAGATTTAGTTTGTAGTTAGACTAACTACCCATTTTCCTCCTCGAATGTAAAACCGACAATATCCTAGAATTCCTTCACAAGCTATGACCACAGAGTGTGCAAAAGTGAGCAGTTTGCGCAGAAAAAGGTTTTCCAAAAGAGCAGCAGAGGCATCTTGTATTTTCCACAATTCAGTACCAAAAAAAAAAGCCGCATAGCACCCTTGTGTCAATTTCTAAGGACTAAAGATATTATGCATGAGGATTGGCAGGAAATGGATAGATTGTGCTAATAAAGAAGAAAAGAACAAAGAAATACCATCAATTACAATTGTGAGTCCCTTGGCGAAAACAAGAAGATAAGACAGTGGAGTGTTCAGTGGAAATGATATTGATATGAAATCTCGTTACCAGCAATGGCTGCTGGCACATTATAAAACTGAAATTGTTGTTCGACAACAGTCACGTAACAGATATTTATTTTTATTCCAGCATATTGAAAAAAAAATTTCCAAACCTTTTTGCATCTTTAGCACGTGTTTTCAGATGTTCTATCTCCATCCTGTAAGAATTTTCTCAGATGAGGTAAAAAATCTAAAAATACTATAAATTCAAAGGCTATTCACTAAATGCCTTCACAAAATTTTTTATTTTTAACTTAATAAAATAATGCAAATCTGCACACAGTTGATACTAGGAAAACAGATACAAACTAATGTCTGATATTCCTGGTAATATCTGCATTGATAAAGAATCTGGTACAATGTCAGAAGGATAATGAGATTGGAACTGAGAACAAGAAGAATTATAGGAGGCACCTAACAGCTACATCCATCTACAATTTGGCTTGCTAAAACCAAAAATATAAAATATAAAAAAATAAACCAAGTTCCTGCAGAAAACTCATTCCACCAAACAAAAAAGGTATGCTGGCTTCAGAAAAATCTTTAATGTGCAAAAGAACTCTTGCAACCATATCAATGCTCAAAGAAGAAGGGCAAGCCTGCCATACTACAGTATCAGTTCTCTTGGACTTGCAGAACATAAATTTATATATATCCTATTTATCACAGGAACTTTTTCTGTCAAATAGTTTCTCCTTTTAATCCTAGTGGGAGAAACCAAGATCCGAAGTCCAGCCAATCCGAAAACATGTGTTAACTCAATAGACAGCTAACATGTCTTTTGCTTTCTTATTCTCATTCTTTCCCAGCAATACCCTTTACGCTAACATTTTTGTTTTTCTAATGGTCTTGACAAGAACAAATTCCACTGCAAACAATCTCTGAAGCAACTTATGCAGGAGCAGCTATCACATTCTTCCTATCAACTCAATCTGTGCATAAACTCAAGTTTTCATCACTTGATGTCCAAGTGTTTTGTGCTAGTTGTCATGGCCTTTCTTTTCCTAAATGAAAACAAAAATTGTTTAAAAGGGTGACTCCTTTCTCACTGAGTCAATTTTAAGTCCAGAAAGAAAAAAAAAGGAACAAATAACAGACTTCAGGGAATGTCCAAGATGCTGTGTGTCCTACTAACAGAGCAAGAGAAAAATTACAAGGTTAGGCTCAAGAAAAAACAAAGAGGATGCAGCTAACCATAAACTATACAGATAATAAAAAGAGATGATACATACAGATCTCTGGCACAAACAAACATATTCAATTCTATTTAACCATTCAGATTTGTTCTCTTCTCAAGAGAATCTCTATTCAATCTCTTCATCATGAATTTTGATTGCAAAAATTTAATCATTATCTGCGTGTTTGTGCAAGACACTTCAGTAACACTTTTATCAAAAATGTGACTACTATCTCATGCTGTCAATGGAAATAGCATAACGTTACAGATACCAACACAAGGAAGAGAATGATATTAGAATAGCATAGTAATAGCCATGGAAATGCTTGAAAAAGAACTGAAAATTTTTAATAGCTTAATACAGTTTTAAAACTCAAACTAGATCCAAATGCCACCACAGAAATAGCATGGCAAAGGATGTTTCAGTTAACGATGTATCAATCAACCCAGCTTAACATTCTCTCTGTTCTTAATAATTCACAACAGCTTTATTGCAAACTTGCCTTTTCTTCAATTTGACCAGCCAAATCCCCTGAAGACCTTACACCTTCAACTGCTTGGGCACGTTTTCTCCTCTTGTATGTCCGAAAACTCTCTCTTGAGGACCCCGCAATATTCCCATTTGCAGTCTGAAAACTCTCTCCTGAGGACCCTGCAAAATTCCCATTTGCAGTCCGACCATTTTCAGATTGAACAACAAATCCATTCGTGTTTATATTTCCATCCACAGCCTCGCCAACTGACCCCGTGACACCAGCACTACCAGTATTATCCCCATCTTGATCAACCATCTTACCTTTCAGGTTAATTGGAAAAAAAATAAATCTAAAGTACAAAAAATTTGCATCTAAAAACTCCTAGGGTTTCACCGTGCAATTCCAAATCTTTACAACCACAATTCTTCAACTTCTCTGCAAATTCATACAAACAAAAGCAAACCCATCTTACCATCAAAATGATAAAAGGATCGCAAACGTAAATTCCACAAAACAAACAACTTTTACAACCAGAAAACTAGGGTTTCACAATTTAATTCCACCTCTTAAAATCCAATAATCTTCAGGTCCTTAGCATAGGCAGCCAAAGGCAAACCCGTTCCCCTATTCTCATAATACAAGACTTTTTAAACTAGAAATCAACAAACTAATAAGCAAAACTGCATTCTTGAATCCAATTCGTTTCAGAAATATTCAGGCAAATCTAGTTTCACACATGCACAAACACATTAAACAAAAAAAACCCATTTGAAACATCGACTACTCAAGAATTTCAAAGACCTACATAGTCATAATTCCGCTAAAAATTCCCAATTAGTACCATAAAAACAATGTGCTGCTATTATACATTACTGGAAACAAAACAACCAGATAATAATCGCATTTCAAACATAGAAAAGACAAAATTCAAGAACTCAGTACCTCTAAAATCACTAAACTTGATCAAAAACAAAAAGAAGGAAGAAAAGCCAAAGAAAAGTAACAAATATGACTCCTCAGCTAGTATAAAGTTAACAAAAACTTAATTCATAAAAAATAATAATAAATTACATTAAACAGAGTAAAAGGCACAAAAACCACACGCTAATGCATTTAGAGGACCAGAGCAATAAAGGGACTTACTTGTGTAAAACAAGGTGGTGCTTCTGAGCCCTAGAAATGAAGAAGTTCTGACTTCTGAGATAGAAGAGAGAGAGAGAGAGACAGAGACAAGAACAGCAGCAAAAGAAGAGTTACCATCCGAGAGGGTGTATTTTAAAGTTTAAAAAAATTGGAGGGGGCGTTTGGGTACTTTAAAATTTCCGGTCACTCGTGACGGGCAACTGATAGGACTGTCAATGGGATTCGGCCAACCCGACCTCACCTCGTTTGGTTCCACAAAAAGCCCGATGAATCCGACTTTTTAGTGAACTGATCTGAGTTTGAATCTAAAAATTAGATTGGAATTAAATATTAGCCGAGTTTGGGTCTCATTAGATTCAAACCCAATATAGGGCCGACCCTTTAATTACTTATATATATAATATTTATATTTTGTTAAAATATAGTATTACTAAATATTAAATATATATAAATTACAAATCACAAAATACATTTGAAGACTCTTCTATGAGTTTTCTTGAGAACCAATATTAGTAATGCATAACTGAATCTAACTTTTCTTATTAGTTGAGTAAATTTTTTTGTTGACATAATATTGGTTGATTTCTTTTTGGTCTAGAAATACAAATCATCAAGCATGTTTGGATTTAAATCACAAGGCTATAAAAAAGTTCCAACTTTTAAAGATGTATTGACATATAACCGCATGTTTTATTACCATTTTTCATGTATTTTGAATGAATTAAATATAAATATTGTTGAAAATTTTTTGATTTATATACTTTTTAAGAATCATTATTTGTTTATGTTTAGTTTTAATATTATAGTCTTGTAAATGTTAAATTAGTTTTACAACTTAACAGTTAGAGTAATTATATTAAAAAAATTAAGAAGTAATAAGTGAGTTTAAACTAAGGCCGAATAAGGCTCATAACCCGAGTATTATGTGAATTGAGTATGAATTTCACATTTATTAATCCGAAATTCAAAAAATATTACAAATTAAATGAGTTGAGCTCGAACTTATAAAAGCCCGACTCATTAGGCCCGATTGACAGACCGAGCAACTGAACATACCCGTAGCTACAAGGTCGTCGGTCTTTGACTACTTGATCATGCATCGCCTGTTTTAATATGATGGTTTACTTATAGTAGCCGGTTAAAAGAGGACATAATAATATATTATGGGTCATGGTTTTGGTGGTTATAGAAATTTTCTTGTATTGTTGTCATTTGTCATTCATCTCTCCATTATAGGTGGTTGCTAAAGATCCGAGTCGAGTCAAATTTTGTTCTCATCGAAATAATAATTTTCATAAAAAATAATAAAATATTAGAAATATGAATAATTTTATTATTGAAATTATATATATATATATATAATCGAGTCGATCCGCGAGTTAACGAATTGAGTATCTTTGAATTCGAGTTCGACTTGGTCAGTTCAAACTCAACTCGCACTCGATGTTAATCAAGCTCGAACTCGAGCTGCTCATAAGCAGTTTGATTCGTTTGTAACCTACTCTATCATCACTTTCTTTCTAAAATTTATTCATCATTTTTTGTGATTTTGTGTCATGATAATGTTAATAAAGAAATTGGAATTTTCTTTTACACTAAACTGATGAAATCTTTTTTTTAAGTCTTACTTTCTTTAAAATCGAATTATTACTTCTTTGGATCTGTTTGACGTTCCAATTTCTCTACTTGCAAGGGTATTTTATAATTGTATGATCCTTTAAATATCATAAAGACTTTGAAATGACATTAATGGCTCTATTTGTTTGTTTTGTTTTGGAAAAACATTTTATTCATTTGTTTGATTAAAACACCCATTCATAATAATTCTCTTAAAAACATTCAAAAAAAAATCTTAAAACTATCTAAACTCCCACAGGCACACAAAAACTACCCCAAAATATAAAAAAGGGTTATTATCACTTTACCCCCCTTAAACTATATCACTATTATCAGTTTACCCTCTAACGTTATATTTTAGTCAATTTACCCCCATTGATAATTCAACTCAACATGTTAAGAAATTTTGGACAAAAATACCCTTTATTTTATAGCATTACTACATTGTTATTATCACTTTATTCGTTTAGATTATAGTGATACAATTACTTTAGTTCTTAATATTATTTTCTAGGCATTTTATCTCATCGTTAATCTAACTAGTATGGTCAAAAAATTTTAAATATATTTACCCATTTTTATATATAATTAAAAATAAAAAAGTTGGAATGGTTATTATTCTTTTTTTTTTCACTTTAAGAGATCGAAAATATAAAAATAAAAGGATTTTCTCAAATTTCCTTTTTCTTCACATTTATTAATACTAGGAAAAGAAAAAGAGATAGGAAAGAAGGAGACAACTAATTAGATTTTACAAAAAAAAATAAAGAAAAGTCTAAAATTATCGTATTACTTTAAAATTGTCGAGATTAGCATTGGAATTTGGTGATAAACAAAAAAGTGAAATAATTTTAAAATAATAAAAGTATTTAATTCTTTCTTATTTGTAATTTTTTAAAAAAAAGAATTGAGTTCTCTCTCTCTCCCTCTCCCTCTCCCCCTCCCCTCTCCATCTTTTTATTTTTTTCAATATTAATAAGATTGTCAAAAATTAAAGAAATTAATACTTTGACTTTTTTTCTTGATACTAAAAAGGAGAAGAGTCACTCTAAATTTTTTATTATTTTTATTATGCAAAGAGGAGGGTATTTTCTTTTAAAGTTTTTTAACTTACTAAATTGGTTTAATGGTAGGATAAATTGCCTAAAAAATAACTCTAGAGGGAAAATTGATAATGACGCTATATTTTATGGGGATAAAGTGATGATAATTTTAAAGGTTAAACATGTTTTTTCACTTTAACTAACAAACTCCGTTCAGTTTGACCGTTAGTTTTGGGGGTAAAGTGACTAAAAGATAACGTTAAGGGGGAAATTGATAGTAGCACCAAACGTTAAGGGGGTAAAGTGATAATAACCCTATAAAAAATACTCACTCATCACTTTCCCTTCCAATCAATTACCTCTTCCCGCCACTCTCCATTTCCCTTTTCCTCATCGGTCTCTTTCACCCCCCCCCCCCTCCCCCTACATCTCGCATTTTCGCCTCCATCATCCTCCCTCCACCCTATCACCTTAACTTTTTTCTTGAAGTGCTTAAAAATCTACGAGTGGGTACTAAATTAATTCACAAAACTACCTTTGAAACCATTAGTTTTATATGTCAAGAAAAAAAAAAGAGTATCGTCAAGCATGAAAAACAACAGCAGGTGTGCATAAATTCACAATCTTCTTTTTGTAAATCAAGAACAAGATGCTGCTGAAAATAAGCATTCGGAAGATAATATGGTGTCTATCCCTGCCTGCAACAACAGGTCATTTCTTTTCTTCTTTTGGAGACTCTCTCTCACAATTCTTGTCCTGACATCTGCAGAATATAGGTCATAAGCAAGCACTGTACAGATTTAATTCTTGTCCTGATATATAGGTCATAAGCAAGCACTGTACAGATTTAATTCTTGTCCTGATATATAGGTCATAAGCAAGCACTGTACTGCAGAATTAAATCTGCAGAATACTATACCTAGGAGTGGATCAACAAATATTTGCATACATAGAAACAAATGTAAACGCTTATTTTGTGTACATAGACATAAAAATGTCTATGAAAAAATAACGGTTAATCAGTACACAAGTGTTTTTTTTCCTTATATTACAACAATCAAAGAGACGTTGTGTGTTATAAGTAAATGATATTAGCATTCTGAAAAATGTTCCAGACACTCTGCCCTTACTCTTTCAACAGCTGTAAGAAACACACACACCCGAATCTAAGGTAATTCCACCAGTTTACCCAA